TAATTGTACTGGCAATGTCACGCAGCTTGTGAATTGTGAGAAGAGAAGGAGGGGCGGGGGGAAATGCAGAAGAAGTTGGGTTGGAAACCATGGAATTATGTCATAAACACAAAGTTTCTCATAGGAAAGTCTCTGTCTTAACTATGCAGGATGGGGTAGGGGGGTGGGAAGGACGAGGGAATTCTTCAGGAAACTCAGAAAGAAATAGACCTCTCCTCTTGTCTCTCACATTTTGCAGAGTAAATGCTTGGCATTAAAGGAGTCATGGGCTCCCTTGTCAGGATGAATCATCCCCTTGGAATCCACACAGAGCATAGGATGAAGAGGCGGTATATTGCAAAATGCCAAATGCATGTGCTGGAATCACAGCCCTCCGATTCCAGCACAGCTCCGCAAACTCAGCCTCACTCACTCCCGTTCCCATTTCTGGTTTGTGTCTTGTCACCTAAAACATAAACAAAGCTGAGGAGCTCTCAGGGAGAAACGAGGGGGTGGAGGAATGGGGTGGAGAGAAGATGAGGCGAGGTTTCCAGTGAGACCCAGCTCTTCCTTTTGCTGCCCACAAGAATGAGAACATTCTTCTCGCACAGCCTGGTGCGTGGACCCCATCCACTTCCCTCCTTAGTAACAGAAACATACTGCTGGAAGACAGCATCACTGTGATGCTTCTGGGTGTTTTTCCCAGCATCGTACATTTGGTTTGTGTTTTATTGTTCTGGCAGTATTAGGCACTCTTAGAACAAGATTCTATGATTCTATAAGATGACACTTCAAGAACATATGGAGAAAAGACAATGGCTTCAAAATGAGTGCAGCCCAAAGCCACCTACCAAGTTACTAGAACAAAAGAGTGCATAAGTAACATTTAGCATGAGGCAACTTATTTTAGTGCTGACCTACAAAAGCATATAAGCAAGAGAAACTTTTCAAAGAGACTGTATTTATTTACTCCACAGCATTTCCTTTGAAGTAGAAAATAATAGTAATAACAACAGAGAATTACAGGTGAAATAAAATAGACGTGAAAAGCTTTTGAAGTATTCCCTCTTAAAATTTTAAACTGATGGCCCATGGTATTTCCCTTTTTTTTTTGTGTGTGTACCTTAACATGGGATTGCCTTTTTGGCATCAATATAGCAAAGGTAACGGGATAAAATGGGACTCCAGGGAAGCCGCACAAAAGGGTCCATTTCCACAGTTCCCACTGTTCTAATAAATACAACTATTTTATTCCCACCACCTCCTCTTTCCCACATGCTTCTGACAGTTGGCAATAATAGAGTTGCTGAATTCAGATGGAAAGAAGGAAATGAAATATTAAAATAACAAGACACAGATAAGATTTGCATTTGTACTTATACCATTGGCTTTTAAGAGAGTTTCCTCTATTAATATTAGATTTTGACAGAGGGAGGGGGAGGCCAAGTCTTTGTGTGTTTCAAATGCTGACCCATCATCCTGCTGTCGTTAGTAGTGCGTTTCTGAGCTAAGGGATCATTCAGCAGTAACAGCTTAATCCAGATTGGGCAGATACACACAGCCCCATCTCTGTCAGACTAACCAGGCCACACAACCTGGAGTTTATGCCAGATTTACACTGGATATGTCTAGACAGACAATATCTGATCTGGCTTAAAGTAAGAGTGGCATGAACAGACAGTATCTGTGCTGGCAAAAAGCCTGGCAGGACAGAGTTAAGCTGTGACATTTTTTCTAACAAACTTAAGCCAGTATGTAAGAACAGCATATCACATTATGTTGACACACAGCTTTTCACTTGGTGCTAGGGGTCCTAGTGCTAGATTTTCTGTATCACTGAAATGCAGGTGTAGCCTTTGCTTACACCCTGCTGTGAGCTCTGCATCTTGCTTGTGTTTGATTCAGCAGCTGCACAGCTCATAAATGAGGCTTAGAGCACATGGAGTCCATGCAAGAATTTGTTATGACTAGATGAAGCTGTTTCTGATGATGTACCCAAGTAGTTTGATACCAAAGCATTAAAAATATTGACAGTATTTGGCCCTGGATTTAATGTTCTCCTAATTCTACCAGTATTCTTGGAAAAAAAAGCTTTCATGTCTCTGCCGATATTTGGTTTATAAACTCTTTAAAACTCCATTGACTTTTTTGACTGCCAGAGACCCTTCCTTCCATATATTGCCCCAAAGTGACATCTCTTTTACTTGACCATACCAAAAGGATCAGCCATACAACTATTTTGTGCCTCCATGGCGTATTTGCAGACTGTTTTCCAAGCAAACCATGCTTTCCATAGGTTCTTTGGTAAGCCTGCAACCCATAAATTCAAAGTGTCCCGATTCATATCTCAGCTGCAAAAAATGTGCAAGACATAGACTGAAAGAGTCCAGCCACCGGATGGGAGGACTCAACTAATTGGTGGAGTTGGCTCAAATACTTGGCCACCAGCTGGCTGATACAGCAGCCTCCAGCCCCAGGGAGTCAAATATTCCACCCGGAATCGAAGCTGGGTCTCTTTAGCAGCAGAACAGAGCAATAACCTCTGGTACCACATGGCTCAGCCCAGTTTTTAATTATTATTATTAATTTTGAAATATAAAAATAGCATAAACCCCTTTCCAAAATTTAATTCGCATTTTTAAAAAAGCAGAAAAGAAAAGAATGAAAGCATATGGTATCAATCATATTTTACAATACTTGTAAGTGCAGTTCGGAAACATGTGTTTCCTAACTGCTCATTCAGCAGTATCTGTATAATTTTTTTAAGCAAAAAACAACCCTCTAAACAAAGCATTTAAACTAACCAGCAGTGCATGATATTGTACTTAGCTGAAATGAACCATTTTATTTGGGTGTAAGCTGAACAGAACCAGTGGTTACTGTTGTTCTGTTACTAGTCCAGAAACCTTCTTTCAACTTAAATTAGATTTGGGAAGAGAGGAAGAAAGATACCATTCCTTCTAGTATCACTGCAATTGCTACTCCTATAACAGCAAATACTGCAAGCCTGGTATATCTTGTTCATGCTGTCGCCACAGCATTTTCTGCAACAACAGAGACTCTGCCCTAATGGAACCAAGCAACGGCTCATCAAAACAGGTTCCCTGTCTCAATGCTGGCTTTTTAAGTGATGCTTACAAAAAAACACAGGATCTGCCTCCTTCATTTATCCAGTTGATGCTGGGAAGGAAAGTACTTCATCTTGATCTCCTGTGATGATGAATTAATATTTGGATCATCTATCTTTCCTTTACCATTAAGCATGGCTGAAAAAGTAGGGTCATATTGCTATGAGTACCTTGAGATGCCAACATATAAACTTCATGAATTCAACTCATATCTTTAATAACCCTTCAGAGATCCATCACACATCAATGTGGAAGAATAACAAGAATTGGTTCCAGTCACCTATGCCTCAAACCAAATGCAACACTTTTTTTTCTCAGCTCAGGTCAGTCCCCCCCCTCTGCCCACCACCCTCTCCGATATCACCATCCTGTCAAAACCCATTTTCTCTGCTGAAAGCCACTGGGTGATTTTTAGCAGATAAATGCGCCACCTTCAAAAGTCAACTCTATCACATTTTGTTTGCCGGTCTCGCTGCTATGTTCTGCACACCTTCTCGCAACACAGTGATAATATAGTTATTGCCAGAAAAAAAATGGGTGGACATTCCTCTTCCTCTCTCAGTCACACTGACATCCATTCATTTTACACTGAAATAACTCCATTGACTTTATTGTGCTTGTTCTGACTTGGTATTGGTACAAGCAAGAGAAGAACAAGGTTCTATTTTTATTTTTCATTTCCTATGTGCAGCTGGTGTCTGAGACCCTGCAGCATGCTGGCCTCTGCTGAGAAACTTCACAAAATTCCACCCTTCTCTCTGAAGATAAAACAAGGGTTTCTCAGCAAGAAATTAGCCAAGCAATCAACATGCAAGAGGATCCTCATTTAATAAGTGCTAACTTTTATTTTCCTAATTGACATTAAAAACAATAACACCACGTCCATGATACAATTTGATTAAATTGGCTCCAGTGGCTTTGGGAGCAGTAATATGATTAAATGCCTAAGACAGAACATGTTCTTGGTGGCTGATCGGCAGAGTGCCTAGTTTTTATTCCACAGACGCTGCAATTCTGGGTGATGATGGCATTAACCATTTTCTACTCAAGCCTGATGGAAAAGCCAAGAGCTTTCCCACCAGGAAGACCTGAGAAACACCCCGAGGCAACACTGTGGAGTGAAAAACTGGAATCATTCCCAAATATTCTTTTCCCACCTCTCCTTTTTATCTTGCATCCATGTCCTTGGTCACTGCTTGACCTGTGAGTGGGAAAAGTTTTCCTACCATCTATCTTGAAACACAACCAGCAAAGTGAGGATCTTGACACAACCTACAGTCTAACCCACACCACATGTCAGGGGCCCTTCTCCCCTTCATACATACAACACAAATGGAAGTATTCATTCCACATGTAGGAAGCTAACGTGCCTCCCATAGCCAAACTAATACTTTCTGATCTGTTTCATAGCTAAAACGACCGCATGAAATTTAACACCCAAAAAGAGATTTTTATGTTGTGTCATGATTTGTAAGTCTCTTAAATACATTTCTCTTGCGCTAATGCATTTGCTACCTTTAAGAAATTTCTTTTGCTGTGAGAATTTATGAACAAATCCTATCAAGCAGCTTATAAGACATCTATTCATACACTTGAGCATAAGCATGTGCATAAGTACCTGATGCATTGAAACCAGTGGCTTCTGTGCAGACCAAGATCCACTGCAGTCCAGTTTGATTTCAAGGGAATTTGCCAAGATCCCAATAACACAGCTTCCCAAACAAATTATACAAACAGCATCACAATTTTTACAGAGAGCAGCTTATATACCCCGTCATATGGCTAACAGATTAGATATTGTGATAAATCTTTCTTTCTCATGTTAGTGACCTATCCTAAACACTCTCTGGTATCAGGACACCAAGAAATAAACCAGATCAAGCTCAAGAGATGAAATATCTGAACAGATTTGTGTTGATCTGTTTTCACAGTATATTTTGTAGGCTGGTTAAAACAAACACAAGAAGGCCCAGGTGGATTTGTCAACATATTTATACTGGACATAGCAGAATAAAGTATCTCCAGTGCTTCAGAACAGAACTTTTCCAGGTGCACAACAGCATTCAGGATCTGATGCTGCTGAATACAAAGCTCAGCACTAAGACAAAAGGAAATAATTATTTCAGCTCCTTTTATGAGACCCCACATCATGCATGTGCACTTGTTCCAACCCAGGACAGACTTCACTGCTGATTTTTTGTATTTCTGAGAAGTTTTAGCCATATACAGAAATATGTTGTGATTGACATTGGGTAAGGAGATGTCTTTCTACACAGCACTTGACCATGACACTTAAAGATGGGAAGACGGGAAACAGCATGACCAGGTCCTTTAAACAGATAAGGAGAGAAGGCAGAGGAAAGCCAAGCAGCTTCTGCAATGGATGTGCCACAAACTCAGGTCCTGGGTTCCGTACCTAGGTTTCTAATTCAGGAAAAGTCATCTGTCCTCTTCCCTGGCCAAGATGACTGTCTAATAGATAACTGGAAAAGTTAAGCTACTTTGGGATTTAAATAATTCACAATGCAGAGGGAGAACAAACCTTTTCTAATTAATCAAATTCTATAAAATCTGATAATTTAACAGAATCTGAAGTACCAATGATGATGTAATGACATATCTTGTGACAAAATTCTATACATTTTCTCTTTCTTTCCCTCTAAATCAGTAATTACTAACGTAATGCTAAATAAGTAAAGATTTAGTCTCCAGTCTTGGAGCCTTTGATGTAGCGCATTGTTCTAATTCCCTATAGATAAAACAGCCACAGATTACTCCTTTGTACCCTAACAGCTTTCTCACCATGCCTTCCCGCAGCACAACTTCTTGTTCAGTCAGGCTGGCAATATCTGTAGTGACTTACATTACTTATTTTTTGTTTTCATGCCTGCAAAGATTCACACAGCCAGGGGAAGGCTCATTTCTGAAGAGGAATAATGCACTGAGAAGCCTCCTGGACCTTGTTCATGGTCCTTTCCAGGAGAACTAATTGCCAAAACTAATTAAGACTGAAAATGATGGGGTTCTCTCCCACATAGACTTTACAGGATTAGGAACAATACTAGTTAGCTGTAAACACGGTCTCTTAAAAAAACTACAGATTCTCTTTGCCGAAGGCTTAGAGTGGGTGGGGATCAGAAGCTTTTTGATATGTAAGTATACCCAGCAGTAATAAAAGTCTTACACCAGGTTAACTACACAATTTGCTAATAACATTTGCTGACACAATCCATGAAAATCACTCTGGCAGCCTGATTTCTGGCAAGTGTACAAACGTTTTATTGAACACATGCTGCCTATGAAACATGGTCTATGAAAACATGGCCCCCCTATTCGCAAACGGGCAGCTGAGTAACGTGAATAAATACCTGCTCTTGATTCTTCCTGCTTTATAGCAGGCAGGAGCCCTGCAGTTCATTTCACACACATTTTTTGAGGGAAAAGCAAGAAAAAGTTTCGCCACTAACTTTGGTGTTGGAGAGCAAAATCTCTGTACAGAATGGCCCATAACTTTCCTCACCAGCGAGGGTTAGTCAAGGCAGGCATCCCACGTAAAAGGAATTGCTAGTTTCAGACTGTTTTTTGTTGAAATATAGTCTGTTCATGTTCTTCCACTCTAAGTGGAGCTTTGCAGAATTCAATGATGCATATTATGAGCCAGAATTTTTCAGGGACACAACTCTATGTTGCCTCCCCAGGAACTACATGCAAGAATCTCAAGGCAGTGTTTTGCCCTGAGAATGGCCCTGTCTGCACAGGGGAAAGTCCCAGGGAAGATGTATGACTAGACATATAAAATATGTATTCAGGCTGACTTACCCTTTGGTTTTAAAGCAGCATTTCCAAAGCAGACACTGAAGCACTGACAATCACTACCATGATGCTAGAGTAGCATGATGCAGTCCAACAGAGACCTAGCACTTACTGGTAAATGAAGCATGCATGCCATGGTCTCAGGATACACAGGATTCCTCCACCAACACCAACACCTCTAAAACATCCTGTGAAACAGGACAACACGAAACCCTGCATTACTGACTGCCTACTCAAGAGGAGCTGTTACAGGTAAAGGGATGGATTTATTTTTCCTGCATTTCAGGTGAATAACTGCTCACTTCTGGGGCAATAATTAAGACTAGTCAATAACAAAGTCATAGAAGCATAGAATGGTTTGGGTTGAAAGGGACCTTAAAAATCACCTAGTTCCAACTGGTAAATTTATATCTATGATACAATGACGTGCCAGTAACATCTATTTATTTGGCACATCTCTTGCAGCATCCCTTAGAATTACCCAGAAATGGGAAAAGTCCTCAAAATAATTTCTAGCCAATATAACGGCTGTTATTTGGTAGCTGTTGTTGCAGGTTCTCACTGTGCAATTCTATGCCAAAAGTAAATTACATTGGTTTTAATATTTTAATTTTAACATTTTGATTTTTTATTTCATACACACAAATATACAGAAACAAACACCTCTGAAATAGGAAAAATAGAACCAAAAAGGAATAACCTGAAATTAAAATAGAGAAAGAAACACTGGTCTCACCAATAAAATCATAGAAATTTCTTAACATAGCTGTTAATGATAGGTCATATCTGGTCATGTTGATTTATCAGCTATGCACTTCAATCCAAGTACATAGATATTTGGGAGAAGAATTCACAAAATACATTGTGCAAATCTGCCCACAGATCTGGATATGTTGTGAGTGAGCCTTGCCTAATTTATAGCATTGAGGAAACTGGAAAACTTGTGGCTGGCCTGAGAGCTGAAAGATTTGATCAAAGACAAACTGATTCAAAAGGATGCTTTATAGATTCATATAAAGCAAAATGTTCTTATAGGTGCTGTGGGTGCTCAACTGCTCTCTCCTTGATGTTTCAGGAATTATTTGCTAGAAGGCAGAGATACTTCTGCACACATAACTATCAGGTTTTGTACAACCATTCCTTCACAGCAACCTGCATGTTTGCATGTTGATAGCAATAACACTGGGGTATTTTTATGCCAGGGAGGAGCCTTCTACTTCGGGACTATTAGCATCATGTTAAATCTTTGGCTTCAGAGAAGAAGACCATCAAGTTTAACAATGAGAACTGCAAACTTCTGCTTCTGAGATGTGTGATGTTCTTGCAGCATTCCCGCATTGTTTCCCATCTTCCCTAGAGCTGTTTCTTTATTTTTGTGTGGCTCAGACCCAAATTCAATACTTTTGGAATGGCTGGCCTGCGCCAACCTAGTAGTCTGAGTTAATGGTTTCTTATTGTTACAGTTGTGTTAGTGGCCGGAATCCTGCACATTGGCACAACTAGAGTGGCTTCTGTTATGCTACAGATAATTAAGTTTGTATGACTTTGATATGTGCAAAATACACTCACACAAGATGACATGTAAGAGGATATCCCTTACTGGCTTCTAATAACAACATTAATGCAACATTAAAGCCCTCTAAAACTGCAGAAGTAATGCCACAATAAATTAATCTTTCCAGTCATTATGTCCACAAGTGTGAAAGAGTCTGAGTGATGCCAGATACTTCCTCTACAAGAAATGCTGAATTCTGATAACCACTGAGTGATCCCTCATTTCTTCAATGTGCAAAGCTGCGAAACCCCAAGGGTTATTTTTTTCCCTTTCATTTCTCTGCTGACAAGTGGTATGGGAAGTATAGAAAGAGTTTAAAAATTTAGCTTTGAGAAAACATATTCCCAATGGGACCTACTTTATACACTGATTTCAATGGAAAACTATTTTCCTAAAGGGTTTTTTTTTCATCCCCCTTTCCAGCTTGCTTCATGAAACCAAATGTTTTACATAATATTGGAAATCAACCCCCACCCTTTACTTATTCCCTCCCTCTCTCTGCCTGTCTCTCTGTGGAATAGGCAAATCAATGGAGAAGTGTTCAAGCTTTTGTTAAAGTGAAAGAATGGAAAATTAAAGGAGGTTGTTCAGAGTAACAGTCACATAAAAATGTACAGCCTGTGGTTCTTGACTCTCTTTGACTGTAGAACTGTTGCTCGTTTCTCTCCAGCTGCCTGTGATAAAGGTACATATGCGGTCTGTATATAATTATATGAGGGTGTGCAGGCAAACCCCTGCGCAGCCAGGATGATGTGAGGTTTCTCTATACACTCATTATGTTCCTGGACTTTCAGATTTTTGTAGACAAAATAAGATTTCTTTCATTAAAATGGGATTTATTTGTGGTTCAATAGCCTGGGGCTGTAGAAAACCAAGGCATTTCACCATTGTGTCATTGAACACTGAACTCTTGGCTTTTAATTATACAGGTTTCTGACACCCAACCAGACTTCTCTTTTTTTCCCTCCTCCCTTTAAGGGAGATGACGCAATTGTGACATAACCAGGCCCCAAATAAGAAATTCCTAACCCAGATGGACATGGTATAAACATTCAGATGCAGAGACACTTGGTTTAATATTGCAGCAGGACCCGGTTGATTTGAACCACACTTTTCAGAGGGCCTTGCTGGCCCCCAAATGAGAAATTGTTGATCCAAATGGAGCAACATAAGGATTCTTTCATGCAGGGAGAGCTACATGGAGGCTTCTCCCAGGCAGATGGACCAGTTGAATAGTCAGTGTTTTCCCTGGTGAGAAATGAAACTAGAACAGGTTTTTCTTTCTTCCTTTTTTTTTCCTTTTCTCCTGGTTTATGTGAATTTTTACTCAGTGGGATCTGAAAGTGAGGTATTTCTTATCCTGAAGTGAAGGAACTAAGACGTCCTTAATTATGCAAAAGTAATTTGACCTGACGAACAGGTCAAATAAAAAATAGAATCTAGCTTCATGTAGACCAAGGAAATCTTCAATCTGAAAAAGTGCTGAACTGTCCCAATTCCTATTAAAATTCAATTTACATTGCTGTTGTTCAACACCTCTGGAGCTCAGGCCATCTGGGTTCTTTCACATCTGTGATCCAGGCTTCCAAAAGGTTAAAAAATCCTGATAGTATAAATCTAACACCCAAGTCTGAAGGTCATGAAGTCAAATTCAGACCTAAAGAATCAGGAGTCTGTCTGGTCCAGAGATTGACGCCTCCAGTAATCTATTTCACATAGCAGTGAATAAGCAAAGTTTACACTTAAGAAAGGATCTGTATGAAACTTCGAAGTGAAAATGTAGGAAACGTGTGTGTGTGTGTATATATATGCATATATGGTCACTGTTTCTTTTTCTTTTTCGTGATGCAAAAGACTTATTTTGCCATTTGGGATGGGGTGTGGAATACAGAAATAAAAGAGTCCTCAAATGTTAATACCTCGCTACTCTGTTTTTTGATAAAAAATGCCATTTCACTGACTTTAAATTTGCAATGGATTTTATGAAATTTTATGCAGTAGAACATCAACTTTTTCAGGCACAATTTCCCAACAATTTTCTGTTTCCCATAGCTCTAGAAGAAATATTAGCTGTTTGACTCTTCTAGCCAGATCCATTACATAAAGGACCATGCCACCCTCACAGAAAGACAAAGAATCAGCCATACTTTGTTTCAGTTTGCACACTTGGTAATATTTTTGACTATGGTATTACATCTCATGGGGAAGAATTATCTGGAAGGATGTTAAACAGAATTAAAATCAAAAGATTTCTAAGCACCACAGTACATGATAATTTAATACAATTATAAGTCAAGACGGGACACCTAGTATTCAGTTGCCAGGCTTTTATCACATGCTACTATTAACATACACTGATCAGATGAATTACATTTTTACAACCAAGAGAAGGCCTTGAATCCCCTTTGGACTTGGTCTAATCCTTCCCATGAGATCAGGAAGGCTTTTTGTAAGCCTTACTTCTTTCTCAAAGTAGTCCTGCAAAGACAAACTCAGGAGGAATATTGGCAAGCTAAAACTCCTTTGTATTATCCAAATGATGTTAAAGAATTTCCCCAGTTGTAAAAGATCTCTAAAATCATTTATAGGATAAACCCTAGCACTAGGCAGGCAGGAAATGTCCAGGTACTGAAAGATCTAACTATCTCCCATGTGCAGTATGGTACACCTGTTAAGAAAGCTTTCCTGCCCATGTGGCATCTCCTGATGCATTATGTACTGGCTGATCCCTGTGGTTCCTACAAATCATTAATGTCATTTTCACAAAGCAAACAGGCACAAGGAGAGAGAATGAGAATCTGACAGTGCTGCTCTCTATGGCTTCTCTATGCATAACTCTGTGGGGTGGAAGTGAAACACGAAGCAACTCATGAAAACTGGTTACAGCACTTTACTCTGCATTGAGAGTGTTCTGGATTGGGTTGACAGCAAATAAGAGGGCTTATGCACTTCCAGGTGACTTAAAGGTGTTATACAGAGCCAATGAAACCTCGGGCTAAGGGGCAGAAGGCACATTGAGCTGCCTTACACAGGAAGAGTTAAAAAAACTATGAACACCCAATCAGCACCTTTGTATTGCTATTTTTTTTTAGCATCTTCACCATGTCACTAGAAAAGACTGGGAGCAGCAATTGAGTTAAATCTTGGCTGAATTATCCCTTTCCTAAGCCTGTGTCTTCAGTGTTTTAAAGTAAAGGTTTCCTTTATTAATTTTAACCCAGGTAGCATTCACTTAGCATTTGCTTTGAGGGATAATTGACAGGTTGAGGCAACACTCGCCAGAATGAGAGCCATAAATCAGAAATAATTTCCAAAATTGGCTGAGGGGCTGATATGTTGAATAGGCAAATACAGGTAAAAATCTCTCTATTACGCCTGACAGGAGTGGCAAATGTCAAGCATGCGCTCCTTAATGCACCAGATTAGATTAATTTTGTGGTTCCTTCTTTGGGTGATTTTATCTTTGGAATGCTACTGTGCTCTGACAATGCTACCAGACTGCTCTCCTGAAGGGGGTGGGTGTTTCTATTTTTCTCTTAAATTAGGAATAACCAAAACTGCCATGGAAAAAAAATGGAGATTATTTTAACTCTAGCTTGTTTTTAAAATAAGTCCC